AGTCCATGCTGCTTTAGATGAACATGAAAAAGCAATTAATTCATTCGAACGAGCATTTGCGCTTGATCCTACGAAAAAGGAGATTCAAGAAGCATTGGATGAAAGTCGTATAATCTTAAGTCGGCAATCGCAACAAGAATATCTAGATCCAAGACTGTACACGAAAACAATTCCTGAAATTTTGAATGAACTACAACAAAAATTTGGTACAGATCCAGAAACGGTACGAAAATATCATAGCTTAATCGAGGAAATAGATCCATCACGAGCTGACGTATTGGAAGGACATAAATATGAACTTGGAGATATTGATGTTAAACAAGACTATGAGCAAGCTGCTAAATATTTTGCTAAAGCAGCAAGTCAGGGCATCGCCGAAGGAATGTACAATTTAGCTCGATTAACTGATCGTGGCTTAGGTGTAAAGAAAGACCATAATTTGGCTCTCAAACTACTTGAGCAAGCAGCCGCACAGCCACCACAAAATCCCATATTTAAACAGTCTCCAAATGTTGGTGTAGCCGAAGCTGAACATGCTTTAGGGGTTAGATACTTCGAAGGTATTACCGTCCGCAAGGATCTATCAGTAGCTGCCTACTGGTACCAACGTGCTGCTGATCATGGGAATGCTCTGGCTGCCAACAATTTAGGTTCAATGTATCTGGATGGCCTTGCGGTTGACAAAGATCTTGAAAAAGCTGAGCAATTATTGGAATTGGCAGCAAGAAGAGGAGATCCACTTGCTATGCTGACTTTAGCAGAACTTTTGTTGTCTAAAAATAATTTTCAAATGGCAAAAATTTGGTATGATCGAGCATGTGAAGCAGGCAATGTTGTAGCTCAAGAGAATCGTGATCAGTTTGCAAAAAAAATAGAAGAAAGTCAACAATTTATAAGTCAATGTTCACCGAATAAATTGGAAGAAGCTAATGCAGTGGAATACTTCATTGGCTTGTTTCGAACTAAGCATGCTCCATCAGTACTGTCTGATCATTCATACATAAAAGATTATAAAATGTTAAGTGAACATGCCAATCGTGGTTCAATAACGGCTAAACAACTTTGTGATGCATTGGACAATTTTGCACAAGCGCTCAACATACTCTTGCTTTCTGAAAGTTTAACAGAAAAACAAGAAGACATGTTTGTCCATGAACTTTCACAATGCTATCGTATTGAACATATTGTAGCTCAGATTCCATGTCAACTGCATAAAAGAGTTAGCGAAGTGGTTGATCGAGTACTTTGCCGATGTACTAAAGAATCGAATTCTATTGCTTCACAACTCGATGAAGATGTCAGATTATGTTACGCTACATTACATATGAATTCATATGAATTAATTGATCAATTTCTTGCTCCATGTAAACAAAAGTATCCAAAATCAATCTATTTCTTCCTAGCAAGCGGGGCAGCGAATGGTTTTCTACGTCGGCCTGATATCGGTTTGTATAATATTAACAATGGACTTGAGATAGAGCCAGACAATTGCGAACTTTTGTATCATAAAGCTGTTCTGTTGCGTCACTTAGGTATAGATATCGATGAAGCAATCAAAGCCTATCAAACATTTCTCAGAGTTGCTCCAAAAGATCATCGTAAAGTTCCCGAAGCATATTATGAAATGGCTATCTGCTATATTCAAGGTTATACGCCCAACGTTGCAATAGACTGGGTCAAGAAACTGTATGTGGAAGGCCAACAGGCAGAGAAATTGCAATTACCATGTTTTTTGCCTTATAAATCAGACAATATTGCATATTTAAAGCCCATGTTTGATATGGAATTTGTACAAAATACAAAACCAGTTATTGATAATAATCGTAAACAACGCCTTACTGATCCTCATAGAGTGGAAGTTATTGAGAAGCATCGTGAATGGGAGGGCAAAACATTACAAGAAAAACATAATCCAGGTTATACGGTTATCTCCTCCACTCTCAAACCTCGAGTTAAAAAGCAAACAGCCAAATCATTAATTGGTTTGAAACCAATTGCATTAAGAGAAATGGATCCAACAAAAGATCAAGTTTATAATGGATATGTGCTTTCTGTAACAATCATTGACGAAACATACTCATGGATTCCATCAATTCACCTAGTAATCGAAGACGAAAATTTTGATTGTGAGCGAATGCTCGTTTATAATTTTCCTGAAGAACAAGGTGAATACTTAATTAGTAAATTGTACACTATTGGAAGTAAAATGGATATTATCAATCCATATTTACGAATAGGAGCCAATGATATGAAACCAACTATTCGTGTTGACGACTTTTCTTCCATTGTAATGCAAAGTGAATCTGAACGGATATTGAATATGTGTCGATATTGTTGCAAAGCAAATGCATCTAAGATTTGTAGCCAATGTCAACAAGCTCATTATTGTTCAAAAGAATGTCAAATCATGGACTGGAAATTATATAAACATAAACTTATATGTAAAAATAAATGAATACGATGTAGGAATCATACTTTGTTATAATTATCTAGTTTCATGTAATTTAGTCAAGAACTACAAATTATAATGAATAAAACATTTGTATACTTAAAATACAAAGATTTAGGTTGTCTTTACGATCAATAATTTTTTTTTTATGATTTCTGTCTACAAAAGCGCTTACGCAGAATATAAAAGGTGCGGGTGGGAGTGGGGTGTGGGTGTGAGAGTTTGGGTGTGTGAATGTGAGGGTATGGGTGTGTGGGGTTTGGTTGTGATTGTGTGGGTGTGGGTTCGGTTGTGGATGTGGGTGTTTATCGTGTCTCGATACAGTCTCACCTACACCTACATCCACACCCACACCCCACTCGAAATCATTCCCAAACTGGGATGATTTTTATTCAATTTCCATTGAGTCATTATTGAGAAAATAGTTCAACACTGTTATGCAATATCTCTATAGACAAATGGAATAATTTTTGTACGATCTGGAATTAGGTGTTTTAAAAAAAATTCCATAACATTATGCACATATAACATTTCGTAGAAACGAAGTTGAAAAATTGTGAAACTCTTTATTGAAAATAATAGATGCAAGATGATTAAGTGGTGAAGGAAGTTATAACAAGAAAATATTATTGTTTCGACAACGTTGGCTTCTCAAAGGATGTCCGGAAAAACGAAATATTAAAAATTTCATACCTTCGATAAATCTTAATGTGAACTCAAATCCATTTAAAGTTTTCACTAGAGTACAATGTAGTATCTATAAGGAGGAGAGTGATTAAACGTTGGAAGAAGCATTTGGAGAGATCACTCTCATCAAGTGAATTTAATAATATCTTAAATAAATTTGAGTTAATGAAATTAAATATTTTATAGGCACATACGGTTTATTTCAATATTGAGAATAGTTTATTAGAATTTATTACGTATATTAATGATGAGCGTCTATTTTCTTTCATATATAAATTAGGAAAATTAATAATTATGTTTAAACAACTCATACGTCAATTTTTTTCTGATAAATGTCAACTAATATTCCTTCGACTTGATATTGTCGATGATGATCCTCCTATTAATATTCATTAGTGTTTAATATTGTCTTTTCATTCTTCTACAACTTCAATTTCGAATAAGTTTCAATATAGTTGTTTGACACTTCGTTATTTATATATTCGTATTAAATATAGCTGTTTTCTTGAACATCTTATCGAACATATACCCAATGTTGAACGATTGTCAGTTATTTTTAAAAGATCTATCAATATTGAATCTCGATCGAAATCAAATATGGAAATATTAAGAAAATCAAATGGAAATTGGTTTGAACAGGTAAGATGAATGTATATATATTATCATTTTTCATCTTTATTTTTAATTATTTTTAATAAAATCAATTCCGATATGATTTCTATATTTGTAAATCTATTTTATACATTATTCGATTATTTTTTTTTCCAATATAATTCTTTCAGTTAATACTTTATTTCAAGATTATTAGTGCAGCAATATTTTGTAATAAAAGAGAAATTCTAATTGGATAGGAAATTTAAAACAAGAAAAAAGAGCTATAACTAAAAATCATTCTAGGAAAAATATTAGACCTTCGAAATTGTCTCTGGACAGCATCCTATATGGTAAGGCAGTCGAAAGTTAGGATATTCGTTTTCTTCAATTTGTAAAAAAAATTCGTATGACAATCTATGAGAAAATTTTGAATATTTACGTAAGAAATGACATGTTTTATTTTTCGAGATCGACTTCAATAATTTAGTATCGAATCTACTTAAAAATAAATTATACTTAAAACTGTTCAGGTAACATGACTTTTCGAGAACGATTGCATATACATATTAACATCATATGAAAGTTTGACAGAAAAAACAAAGTAGTATGTGCAACTAATTAGAAGTGGTTAACGTATGAGTACGTAGTTATACTCGAGAAAACTCAAAATTTGTCACTGTCGGAATAATTTGCAGATGCGTTTTAAGTGTCATTCTCGTCGCTTTACTGAAATAGAATTATTTTTTCATAATTGATAAGATTTATTCAATCTTAAAAGTTACGTTTATAGATACTCAAATCCTCTTCATACTTCTGATGTCCCTCTAAAAAAAGAAAAGATCTGTAAGACTCACTCCAGGATTTATGATAAAAACTTGACAGATTTTTGACGTCGCGTCACTATTCTAGTAGAGACATGATCTTGAACATCTCTGATATATGTCTTAAAAAATAGGAAGAAAAGTAAAAGAAATAAAATCAGAAATTTTATTTTGATAATCACAAATGTTTCATTTTATTAGAATATAAATAATAGTTATTGAGAAAACTAATTTCTAATAAGATTAAAACATTCAAAAAACAAGTTTTCTTATTTGTTTTTCTTTTCTACTAATTCTAGGTACCAAAATTGAATTATTTTACTTTGAAAACTATACTTGATAATGATAAAGAGTTAGACTATTTGAAATGGATTCTTAATAATTTGAATCATATAGAAAAATTGAAAGTTCATCTTCCAATAAATCGAATGGATTCATTTTAAGATACAATGGTTAAAGTACATGTTGTTGATGCAAATTTTATCCGTCAATATTGTTTACCTGATATAATAACCAATATAAAATCTTTTCATTTTTATATCATATCTCAATGTCAATTATTATCGAATAATATTGAAAAAATAATAAATTCATTTAAAATTGACCAATTTTTTATTTCACGTCAATTGACAAATGTAACTTGTTTCACTGATCGAATTATGTCATATCAATATCTTTCTTCTTCTTCTATTGTTAATATATCTCCATCTATTAATCGTTTAATGTAAGATAAACTTTTTTTTCATAAGAATACCTATTATGTAGTTTTTATTTTATATAATTATTTTCTTTTAGTTTTTCTCCAAATGTTTTTACTTGGCCATATATTCAACATGTTTCGATTAACTTAGATCCATCTGTTTATTTATTATTTGAACCATTTGATGAAATATTTCCTAATAGTTCTCATATTAAAGTTTATACAGGTTAGGATTTTATTATTCAATGATTTGTCTTTAAACAATACTAAAAACGAAAGAAATAATTTACGAATAAATTAAATGTTAAGAATTTAATTTTTTGACAAATTCATCTAAATTCTTTTGTTTTATTTAACTCATTCTAATTAATTTATGTTGAATTTACAAGGAGAAAAAAAATATGAACTTTTATTGAAAGAAATATACATGATAAAAAGTATTTATCGTAAAAAAATAATATATATATATTCTATTTTTAACAATATTTTATGATAGATTTAAAGAAAAATCATATTCATTTATTTTTATTTAGAATCTTATAGAGATCTTAATCAGTCCGGTATATCTCGGTCGTTAAGAATACCATTTCAAATAGGACAACGTAAAGTGACTGATATTCAATTTCGAAATGTCACAAGACTTGACTTGGGAGTTTGTTTTAATTGTAGCATTAGTAAGTATTGTTTACTTTTTTTTTCTTTTCATTTAAGTAAAAATAGGTAATTAAAATTTATCTTTTACTTTAACCAATATTTTCGAATATACAAATATAAAATAGTTGAGATGTATTTCTTCAATTCAGATTTATCAAGTTAAAACTTTGTTTGTTGTTTTACAAGAATAATAACTGATGCAGAAGTTCGGGTATAAATGTCTGTCTTATTCTTCAGAGAAAATATGCTTCAGATAAATAAATAAATAAATAAATTTTCTTCTATTAAGTATAAATCCCTAGGCATTCATTCGTTCTCTGAAATCGTTAAATCTTGCCTCTCAACTACCTTCATCATCTGTAATGACCACTATACTCAAAGTAACGACTACCAATCCAGATAAATCGGAGAATTCTTTCAAACGTCAAAAACTAGAAATATCCAACGATAGATTTCTGGTACAAGCATTTTTCGAAGCAGAGACACTAAAACAGATACGCCGTCGCACTTTCTTGGATTGGCTTTATAAAAAGTCGCCGTCTCGAGCACAAATGATCGAAGTTGGATTTTTTCACTGTAATGTCGATGATGGCGGGATATGCTTGTGCTGTAATCTCATCTGTCAACAAGGGCCGCCAAATGCAGATGACTCATGGTTAGTACATAAAATCCTGTCACCCAAATGTCCCTATGTAGTAGGCATGCTAGCACGTCGCGAAAGGACGTCTCTAGTGATTGTGAATGAAAATTCCGCTAACAATCAGCCGTCAGCTATACCAGGTATCGAAGCGCTTCGTTCAAATGACATTGTATCCACCGTAGCTTGCCACAGCGCATTTGTCAAAATACCGAGATGGTATGCATCGTTTGCCAATTGTCCCAGGGAACAGCTATCTGCTGTCGATGAACTAGTTCGAGCCGGATTCTTCTATACTGGTAAAAACACGATTGTGATGTGCTTTTATTGTAATGGATCGCTTCAGAACTGGGGTTCTAATGATAACTCAATGATCGAACATGTGAGATGTTTTTTCTCATTGTGCCTATGCCAAGCAATTTTGCGACGATGATCTTTATCGAAAAATTGAGGAATCAAAACGACTGGCTCAAGGTTAATGAATATGCCATTAGTTTGAACAATTTGTAATAGGCAAAATTTATGTGACACATGAGAAGTCTTGAATTTTTACAATGTGGATGTCCAGTAATTTTCTAGTTTCTTTCGGTTGTTAAAATTTGTGAGATTTCTTAGACTTTAAAACTATGACTCGCTAGGAGCATCATAAAAACAACAAATTTATGCGGAAATTTAAAACTGTCAAAGGTTTCAGTCATTTTGAGAATTTGAATAATTGTACGGATTGTGAGCATGTCGACAGTGTCAACAATAGGTATGCTTTCAGTAGCATCACTAATGGAACCAAGTATAGCCTTTTGAGCTCGTTTTAGATAGTTATATAAACAAAAGTATCACAGGCATTGACAAAAGAACGATTACCTATGTATTGGTAGATAAAAAGTTTTGTATTTTGTTATCTATATACTTAGACATAGTGCAAAGTAGAAAAATGGCTATGTACAATGATCTAGTTGAATAATAATCGTTGCTACAAATTTACTAGTGGAATACTATTGATTGATGTATTTATTTGCTGAAAACTTATTCAGATGTTATTTCTCACTTTGTTAGCAAAGAATAAATGTTTCCTTTTCTATCAAGTGGTAAATCAGCCAGTGCTATAATTGTAACGAAAAGTATTTATTTAAATGACACCCACACCCACACCCACACCCCTAAGTCAAATATTCTTCATACATTGTGTCATAAACAACATCTGAAAAAGGAGAGCACAGCGATGCTAATCAACCTCAAAAAACACCCTCTCACTTCAAAAAATCCAAATAGTTCTCAATGATCCTAGTCATCTTCAGAAAACATTCATCGTTTTGCAATCTAACATATCCCAAGCAAACTGATTATAAAATTAAGCTTCGATTCCACTTCGACTAATATCCTAAGTTCTATGAACAGTGGCCACCAGCCAATCTCTAAAGCGCACAGCCATCATACGAGGGGCTTCTACCCCGTTATTCTGCCTTCTACCACTCCACTTCCCAATTTTACTCGACCAGAACAATCTAAAATTGCTTTGGATTCATAATATTTTGATTTCACTCGAATTACAAACTAGGCCACATGATGTTGACTATCTGAGTAACAGTAGAAAGCCGCAGTGGTACACGTTGCCAACCCATACCCTAGGATCTGAATTTTCTTTTCGAAAATTTTACAGTCCGACTAGAACATGAGCCCTCTTCGGAGTCTCTTGAGCAAGGACGAAACCGATCAGGGTTGCTCTCAACACGCCCACACACCCGCGCCCATACTCACCCACACCCTATCTGAAATAAATCTAGAAAAAACACTTGAAGCTTTATCTTTGTTAAGCAAATAGACCAGAAACGAAAAAAAACGAGAAAAAGCGTCATTAGATTTGTCTCTTTCTTTCTTCGTTTATAAATATGGTTGGTTTTTATTCTTTTCTTGTATTCTCTTTTTTCTTTTTCGCTTACTTCAACAGAGTGTGCCCATGTGACTTCATTCCTCTTTAGGCTTTTATTATATTCATGAGTCTCAAGAATATTTTGTTGGTATATTTCATGAATATGGATGTAGCAAAATCAACCTTAGTCAATTTCAATTCTTGGGGTTGACCTGAAATTGATGGAATTTGCTTATGATGTCGTACGGAAGTTTCCATGAGTGTGTTGCAAGCATACCAGAAAGCAAGCATTCAAACTCATATTATTGCATACGATTCTCGCTGCAATCGAGCAAATCATCAAAAAGTGGAGCACAGTTCTGAAATTTATATAAGACATCATATACAAATCCAGTCAGTTTCAACTGAACTTCAATTTCATGAGTTGAAATTAGAGTTAACTGGAGTTGGATCTGGTGAATCACTAATCATGAAGGTATATGAAGAACGATTATTAGGAAACCCAATCGCTGGTATTTCAATTTTTCTATTCGTCGAAATGCTGAACACTGAAGACCTTATTCATCATCTTTAGACATGTGACTTTTCAGGTATTTTTAACTTTAAATGTGGGTGTGGATTTTGGTGTGGTGTATTGTTTATGTAACACACGTACACTCACACCCACACGCAGCTAATTATTCCGCAAATTGTCAAGCAAACGAGTACATCTCAATTTCAATGTATACCCAGGTCGAGAAATCATATAGAAAGATCTTGTATGATCGTACGTCTGATCTTGTAAGATCATACAAAAAATCGTCGTCTCCAAAATCTTACACCAATTTGTACCATAAGATTCTCGAAAGATCTTACTATTACATAAGATTTCCTATACTCTTATAGTCATATCTTAGAATACAGCACGATCTTTCAAGAATCTAATGGTACGAATTGACCTAAGATTTCTGAGACGACGATTTTTTTGTATGATCTTATATGGTGTTCAAAACCTTACGTCCGATTTTTCGACATGGGTGTAGGCGGGACTTTACAGACTCCAAGTCGATGCACAGGTGAGTTTTCAAATAGGTATGTATTATGAAAACAGCATGAAAACACTGCATACAATGGAAGCAAAATGTCCTACTATATAACATCAAAATACATCCAAAATAGCACCAAAATGTTAGCCGTGTTTCAAGCTGTCGTTCCATATCTGTTAAAGAATGGTAAGTCGAAAAAGTCATTGGACCAATTTCTGGTCAGACGCGCCCCGCCCTTTTTTGTTTTCAACATCCGGAATTGTAGTTCATACAGAGTTGTGCATACTCTGAAGCTTTATATGTTCTGGAGCTGTCAGGATCTGGATTCGAAGATAGAAAAGGATTAAAACATCATACGTCATTAGAAGAGACTACATGACTGTTTTCCCTTTCGTCTTCCTAATGCAATCAAAAAACTTTTTTTTCACATCAAAATTTCAGAGTATGCACAACTTTATATGGGCTACAATTCCCGATGGTGAAAACAAAAAATTTACTTTTTAGAATCTTGGGTTTTCCATACGATCTCTAGAAAACCTTTGATACCTGACCATATCCTTTTGAACTGTTGAAGCTGCTACAAGAATGAACGTTCAAAACTGTACCTTGGACGAAATTTTAAGTGTCACGGCATGGGATTTACAGGAGATATGCATATTGAAACGGACATCCATGAATACAGGGGTTCTCTGAACCAAAGAGCCACTTTTGACACTGTTTCTCACTTAAAATCAAAACTCATATAATGTATTTTGTAGCCTTCGATGCGCCTACAGAACTGTATTTAGATTGAGAATACAGATGTTCGATTGATTGTGTAGAATTGGTGTGGTGTCGATTGTATTATCAAGCTTCACAGTTAGGGATTCGCCCAGAAAAGTGACCTATAAGGTACTCTGAAGAATTCGAGTATAGGCTACGTGATTCAGTTCTTTACACTCAATACGAATCTGGTATCAGAATTACGATTTTCAAAATTTTTACTTGACAATAATCGCAATTATTTCAGGTCGACACGTTCGGAATTGCACTCTATGAAAATGCATTT